TTATAAAATATCTAAATAGATATTTGATATATTGGTATTAAATACCCTATTTTTCTAATTATTCCTCCCTTCTTCATTTTAAAACAAATTTAATAAAAGTTAAAACAGAGGTTGGAAGAAATGTCCTTCTGGGTTCGATTCCAAGTGGGGAAAAAGACACTGGAGACATGGAGGCTGCTTGGAAAGATGGTTTAATGGTGGACAGGGCCACATGGCTTGAGTCCTGAAAAGAAAAGGTGATCACGTGCTTCAATCTTGGTGGAGAAAAAGAGAAGGGAGGCTGAGATGNCCACCTAGCCATAGTAAATATTACTCAGCATTCTTGAATCTTTGTCCCAGCTGCTCCCTCTGCTGGAATTCTCATTTGCCCCTCCTTATCCAGAAGTGCCTCCAGCTGTTGTAGCTCCTCCTTTGCCCAGACTCCCAATACAGAGCTACTTAGTTAACATCCCTAATGATTACCCCTAATTTGATAATATCTCGTGTCTCAAAAACTTGAACAACAAATTATCTGGTTTCCGAACCCCCAATACCTCTGTGTGAGTCCCTTTGGTGCCTCCCAAGTTCCTACACAACCTACCATTGCTTTCAGGCAATATTACTGTAGTTAATTATTGTACAGTTCAGTAAGGCTCTTGTCTTATGTCAAAATTGCTTCAGAAATAGGGTAAACTGAAGCATTATGTTTCCTGGTGTTTCTTTTTTTTAAAAAAAATTGATGCTCTGATTACCCAGGAACAGTTTTCTGTTAAAATGTGGCTAATGGGTGATTGCCTGCTTTTTGGGATCAAAATAATGGCTTCCCGGCAAGAGTTCTGCTGCTTTTGATTTTTTGTTTTACTTCATTTTAATAGCATGAGAATTTTGACTTGATTCTGCAGTGCACTCTTATGGATGTGCCTGGGTTTTGAGTTTGTTTTTTTTAACTGAACAGTGAAATTTTAGTTGTGCTATGTCAGACAAATATAAAAATAAAATGATGTCTTCCTACTTTTATAGGGTACCCTTAATTGCCTTTCTTCTATCCCTATCCCCTGTTGTAAATAGGAGACTTATTCTAAAGGGAGGATAAAATCATTTTTTCCCCAGACTGACCTAATGCCTTGGCAGTTTTGCTGGCTTGGTAAACTCTGAAGGATGCATGTAGGCATCTTGGTTATCCTTTGGTTTCTTGGTTGATGCTTTTTCTAATCAATATTGGTCAACATTTCTGTGCATTTACAATTACAGTATGAATTATATGTAACTATAATATGGATCATCTCTTCTTCTGTATTTATTTATTTATTACTACTACAGCAGACTGTTCCTCCCTTCCCCTCTTCCTCGAGTAGTAATGCAAGATGAATTGTATGTAGTTATGCACTTTGTATCAATGTAGTAGAAATCTATGGAATCTGTTTTTATACTTTTTATATTGTTCATACACTTGTAATCCAAGCTTTTTTTTTAAACTAGGACAACAAGCAAATAAATAAATGAATGAATAGATTTATCTAGGAGGGAAAAGTGTATTCTTTTCAGCTGTTGATTTGAGTGATGTCCTGAGTATCGGCTATTTTGAAAAATGTGTAGAAGGCACAAGAGAGTTATGAAGCGTGCTCAGTTTAATACTCAATACTAGTAGTCGTTGACTTAACAACAGTTCATTTTGTGACACTTCAAAATTACAATTGCACTGCAAAAAATGACTTGTGACAATTTTTCACACTTATAACCATTGTAACAACCCCATGATCATGTGATTAAAATTCAGATACTTGGCAACCAATTCATATTTGTGTGGGCTTCGCTGTCCTGGAGTCATGTGATCACCTTTTGCAAACTTATGTTCAGCAAAGTTAATGTGGAAGCCAGACTCACTTAACCATATCACTAATAACTGCAATGATTCACTTAACAGTGGCAAAAATGGGTCAAAAATCGCTTAACAACTATATTGCTCAGCAACAGAAATATTTGAGGTCATATGTTGAGAACTACCTGTATTTTATATACATATAAACTCTTAATGCTGGAAATATAATTTTATTGGCCAAATAAGCCAAAGGACTTCTTACAGTCTCATTTGCCTTTATAAAGTTTTGTGGAGAATCCTATTCATTGAACTAGTTGGCAACTACTTTGCATAATATAAAGAACTGCTATTTAGGAGTAGGAGTATCAATCAACTCAGAAATCATGCAATCAATATGATTATATGATTATTCAAGATCATCATTGACAAATCTCAGGAATGGAAGGGACACTTCAACCTTGCTTGGTACAGGAACTAAAATACTTTTGACAAGTATCTATGCAACTTCTGTATGAATAAATCTAATACAAATACCTGCGTTTGGTATTCAAATTGCAATTATTAGAATATTTTTTATTAAAAATGGACATGGGCAGCATTTTTGCTCTGATTCTAAAAGGTTGATGCTAGGTTTGCAATCCATTTGCTCAGATCATGGCAAAAATTGGGGAGAGATTTTCCCTGAGCAAAGTTCTTGTTAAATGTTCCCGGTCTACGTTTTCATGTTCATTAGTAGAAATTGAATCCATTTATTAGTATACGTTTTGGCTGAGCAGGAATATCTCTGGCATATAAGGATCAAGCTTCTGCCTTCCTTATTTGGCGAATTGCTAGTGCTCAACTGATTCAGAACTTGAATTGCTTGCTTCCTTAGATATTAAGGAAGCAAACAGTAAAGGATGCTGTTTTTACGGAATACAATGATTGCAAGCAATCTCTGCCAACAATTTTATGTATTTGTGTGATATATGTATCACACAAATTCCTCAATCCTGAATTACTTCCCTCAAGAAATACTGTAATTACAACAACAAAAACCAGTGCCTTGAAAAATGGTTTAAGTTGCAATGGAAGAACTATGAACACTCTTAAGTACTCTTGTCTGGAGATATCCTTCTTCTTTAAAAAACGGTATAGTTGTGACCTGGCAGCTAAATTTTATTGCTTTATTTCACTTTCTATTCATGCCCTTGTTGGTTTTCCTATGAAGTCTTAAGATTTTTCATAACAAGAAACAAGCAAGTCTAATAAGAGCTATCAATTCATGTGCTGCATTTTCAGAACAGGTGCCATGTTTCTCTTAAGTACGCAATTGTTGCCTGCATAGCTAGCAAGATCTGCCAAAGGTTAAAATGGCTCATAAAACAAGCAGATTGAAAAATTTAGCCCTATGTACATACCTGCTGCTGTTTCCTAAAATTACTTATTCACAATTATATCAGTTCAGAGCTTAATCTTCAGTATCATTTAATTTTATCTGTCCATGTTTTTCCAAATGTAGAGAAATATGAACTGGTCGATTCTGTATTTCAGCGTTTCTCAACCTTGGCAATTTTAAGATGGGTGGGCTTCAATTCCCCAGTTCAACTGGCTTGGGAATTCTGGGAATTGAAGTCCATCCATCTTAAAAGTTGCCAAGATGGAGAAACACTGCTGTACCTCATCAGGTTCACTGTCAGAAGATTATATGACTATGCCCTAATTCAGCCCTAATTCACAGTTGGATGGGAGACAATTTAAGCTAGACTGAGGAGCTGAGGCGCACTGTTTTTAGTATGATTTGGTATCAGATGAGCAAGAACCACCAGATGGAGCAGTTTGCATAAGAAATTCCCACTGTCTTCATATTGTTATAACAAAATGAGAAAACATATGGGAAATAATATTCAATGTACCAGTAAAGGAGAATATTCATAGCTCAGGGTTGAAATGAGAGGTCCTTGTTACGCTCTCAGCTCAGTTGTTTTCTTGCAGGCGTTTCATTACCCAAACTGAGTTAGTTTATAGTTTTATAGTTTTATTGATTTGTATGCCGCCCATTCCCGAAGGACTCCGGGCGGCTTACAATAAAACAAGGGAGGGGGAATAATACACAAACAACATTAAAATGTACAACAGTCACAATCTCCGGGGGGGCTGGATATTTCGAGAGCCCCCCGGCCT